CTGTAAAAAATGATTGTGATTTTAACAGTAAAATACTGTAAAACTTCCACAGTAAAAAATTGTTAATTGGCAAACAGTAAGTTTCTATATTATATACGGTGAATAAATGTAATTATATTTAATGTCATTTTACAGTAAAATACTGTTAAAATTACAGTTTTTGGAAGTGAAAACGAAAAAGTCATTCTATAATTTACAGTGAAAAACCGTAAATTGACACTCCCAGAATTCCCTGCGTGACACTTAATATTTGATGTTTTTTTATATATATTACAATGTTATGTATTTTATTAAGTTATATTATATATGATCAAGTCATTTAAGTTTCAGTTTAGTCAAACATTTTGAATATACAGTATATAATACTATGAAATAATATATGATACATGGTGGATCTTCTGTAGCTGACACTTGAGAGTATTACTGAGTAATTGATTCTACACTGTAAAAAATGATTGTGATTTTAACAGTAAAATACTGTAAAACTTCCACAGTAAAAAATTGTTAATTGGCAAACAGTAAGTTTCTATATTATATACGGTGAATAAATGTAATTATATTTAATGTCATTTTACAGTAAAATACTGTTAAAATTACAGTTTTTGGAAGTGAAAACGAAAAAGTCATTCTATAATTTACAGTGAAAAACCGTAAATTGACACTCCCAGAATTCCCTGCGTGACACTTAATATTTGATGTTTTTTTTTTTTTAAATGTTTCTTCTTAGTTTTTTCTTATCAGTTGTGTACATTAGGGTTTTATCTTACATCTAATGTTGTTAAATTAATGTTTATTGCTTTATTTCAGCATCATGTGTGTTACCATGATGGTGTTTAGTGTTTGTATGAATGACACTGTGCACCTTCTATATAAGTATTGCCCTCCTCAGCTCGTAGAAAAGCTGTTTGTGATGAGCTTTGGTTCATCATGTGACTTTCTAATCACCACCAGTTTTTGGTGGTTATCAGTGCATTACAATGGTTCAAAACAGATATTAGTGCTTCAATATGTTGGTTCATTAACATTACATCAGTTAATGAAATACGTTTTTTTATTGTGAATTTAATTTCAGTCTGTAAAACCTCAAATGTTGCTACCATATTTTTTACGGTGAAGGTCTGGCAGCCACAGCTGCTGGTATTTTACCGTAAATGTCACAGATTTTTTTACAGTGTACTGACAAGACTGAATAAACACTGCATTGTTTGTCTCTAACACTCTGGCAGTGGTGTTTGAAGCGCATCAGTTCAGCAGGATGTCTGCGGTGACTTATCTGACCAGCTGAAGATCGTTCTCCACATACAAGGTGTAAGTACTGGGCCATTTGTTTACATAGACACAACTGTTAAGATGCTAAAGTCTGGTCAAAACGAAGAGTGTTTGATGTCGTCTTCAGAAGTTACATGCTGTCAGAAAATATGCTGGCTTTAGTTGCCAGCATTTTCTTTTCCAAAGTTGTTCAAATCATTTATTTGGATTAAAAAAAATAAATAAAAAAAAAACGAACTGATCCCTGCAATGCAGTTTTCTTCTGTTGCAATTACATTTGTTCTTGGTATATTCAAGTGAACAATAATGAGATCTAAGATGCCGATGCAGTTGTAATTGCGAGTATAGAATATACAGTAACACTTTAGTTTAGGGTCCAATTCTAACTAGTTGCTTATTAGCTTGCATATTACTAGCATATTGGCTGTTTATTAGTACTTATAAAGCACATATTAATGCATTATTCTGCATAAGCATATTTTATATCCCTTAATCCTACAGCATACCTAAACTTAGCTACCTTATTAATAACAACAAATTAGGAGTTTATTGAGGTACATTTGTTGCAACAGTCCTCGGTGCTCTTTGATTCGTCTAATCTCAGTGCCCCATCCATTCACACAGAAGCCCCCACTAAATCACCTTCCAGTCATAAAGCATTGTGTGCGATGCCAGCAATATGCATGGATTCAAAGACCAGTACCAGCAACATGCTCTCCCCTTGGTCGTAGCAAACAAAAACATGAAACAAATATGTCAGTGTCGGAAAACAATGTGTGAATTCTATTGATTGCTGTCCTTGGACAATTGCAGCTGAAGGCACAATGTTGTTGACCTCCATACATCAGGACATAATCAATGAAATGATATGACTGATGAAACGGGCTCTTCTTTTGACTGATAACTCCAGCACAGAACAAGCTCCTCCAGTCTGACAGCTGTCAGAGACACCCACCAAACGCTCAGGGCTGTCAAATCCCTTCAGTGACCTTTCACACTCTTATGGAAGGTGAGCTTGTTGGCTTAAGTAACAGTCTTGAAGTTCCCATCTAAATACAGCTATGAATGTCACTAGATGAATAACACTGTAACTGTTATTCACTCTACATTTATCTGTTTATTATCATTTATTTTTTGCTCTAAGAATTAGCACAACCTAGATATTTTATTGATCAAGTATCTAAGATCATTTTTATTTTTTATACACTGTTTTCAAAGAGGTCATTCTCTCTTGACCTCAAAGTTGTAATAGTCCGTCAAGGGTTTGTCAATTTAGATGTATTGGTTTGCATGCCATTCAAACGCTTTACCATCAATAAGATTTATATCTTTGATGTGAATCAAATATAGGATGGTTTCTTTAGCAGACTTGCCTCTTCTCTTGAGTAACAGTCAGCTGGTGATTTCTGGGATGTCACTCAGAATGGAATGACTTCAATAAAGCTTCTCGATTCATGATAAAGTACAGAGGTTACTTGAAGCTGTCAAAATCCGCACATCATAGTGAAGGTCTGTGAGTGACTGGCGGAAAACTACACTTGACAAGAGCAGCCAATCAATGGGTCTGTTGATTACAGGGTAATCACCCTAATTGTTTACATAGATTTTAATACGTTACTCATATATCAAACTTTATCACCATAAGCTTGGATTTTGATCTAGGGCCAGGCCTAGATAATCTGCATCTGCTTTTTATCTATAATATTTAATTTTTAATTCAATTTTAATAATTAATTTTAATTATTGTAGTATTAGGGTTAAAGATAAGCTACATTTTTCCTCAACATAACTCTCTAGTACATTTGAATAATAATAACCTAATAATAATAATAATCAGTGTTGGGGGCAACGCATTACAAGTAACGCAAGTTACGTAATCAGATTACTTTTTCAAGTAACTAGTAAAGTAACGCATTACTTTTTAATTTACAAGAAGATATCAGAGTTACTTTTTCAAATAAGTAACGTCAGTTACTTTTTTCCCCCCCCATTTATTGATTGAAAGCTCTCCTGTCCCCATGTTGAGAGAAATCGGGAGTAAAATTTTACTTTAGTTCTAGACTAAATGCGAACATGCATTAATTCATCTCACTCACAAAAAAAACAAAAAAAACAGATTCTGTTTTCCTCAAAATTAATAAAATTAATAAAAACAACTCCGAATATGATGCAAACCTGCAATAATTAAATGTTAAATAATACAAATATCCTTTATGTATTTAATCCCATTTTATTATCCAGTGTCTTTGCTGCTGACCTTCGATGATCCAATTCAACCAAACTAATAAACAAAAATTACTCAAACTAACATTTGTTCTTTTTTTATTGCTGAAGAGTGTTGAACTTTCTTCTTCTGAATTCTACTGTACAGACGTGTATTTACATATCCTTCAGCCTGAGGATTTTGGTGTAAAAGGGCTTTTACATTTGCCAAAAATAGAACTTTTTATATTAAAACCAAACAAGCAAGCCCTGCCCAGATTTAAAAAGTAATGCAAAAGTAACGTAACGCATTACTTTCCATAAAAAGTAACTAAGTAATGTAATTAGTTACTTTTTTAGGGAGTAACGCAATATTGTAATGCATTACTTTTAAAAGTAACTTTCCCCAACACCGATAATAATAATATGACAATATTAACAATATTAATGATGGCTAATAAGATGCACATAATTCACAAAGAATAAATAATTATAAAAACAAAGTTTTTACTATGATTAACAAAGCTGTCTTTAAAATTTGGAGCAAATTCTGTTAATGGGCCAACCAAGGATGAATATTGGCTGATGTTGAGATTGTGGGCACCATAAGCAGAATGCTGAAGCCCAAAAGTGCTCAGCTGTGTTTACTGCATTGTGCACATTGGGAGATACTATAGTGAAGGATGCATCCACATACACTATGGTCAGTATATATTACCTGCACAAAGCATGGACTTTAGGCATGGTGAAGTAGCATCATAAATGAGTCATAGACACTGTAATCTAGACAACACAAGCAGGTTCAGTTACAGTTAGCAACATGCATCCTGCAGCATAGTCCCCACACATCCTTCTTCAGCCACCAACTTGTGTTTAACCCACCTGCACCTTAAAAGAATTCACTTTTATGCTGTTTTATTTAATCCAGCAATGATTGGGAAGCACTGAGTCACCTCAGCACACTGCCCTCGGTCGGTTGGAGATCCTCACTGCACGCGGGGAGAGGAGTATAGCAGCGCTCTCTGGCTCCTCTCATCTCATTCTCTAGAAGATGGCGGACTGCGCTTCACTGTTAGACGAGGAGCTCTCTTCATTTGTCTTCAATTACTTGACTGAAAACTCCGGCAGCCAGGTAAGCCATGCACCATTTCTGATGAAGCAGAAGCATGGCTATTTCTCCCCGGGTGTATTTTTGCACGTTACTGTCTGTGGCGCGATATTCTTGCATCATTTCAGCGATGCTGTCAGAGCGTGTCAGCCGGCGTCTGGAGTCCCTGGCGTCTGCGCTTCACGTGGAGTTCACAGGAAACAATGCATTTACGCGAAAAGTGACTTCTAGACAAATAATCGTTCTTTCGAAGTCTGCGTTCGAGGGCTAGCGATTAGACAAAGGTTGATAACTTCACAAGCGGAATAGAATAAGTTCAGATGTGTTCATCAGTTTGCCAAAAATCACCAATTTCCCGGTCTGAGTGTGAGAGTTTGTGACACGTGGGTGTTGTGGTGAACTTGACTTTAAGTTGCTTGATAATATAGAAGCGCTCTGATTCATTGTGAGGTAGATGAAAATTAATATAGATCTGGAAAACTGTGGGGGGGGGGGTTAGATTTTATTTGACTATTTTCTCAGTTTTATTTTTATTTTTTTGCATCGCGTAGTTATTAATCGGTGCATATTACAACTAATAATGCAGTTCTTAAAGGCGATCAGTGTTTGTTTAATTCATATTCATACCTGGCCTGCTTTTTTGAGCTAAACTATAAAAAAAACTGTAAACCGAATGCACTGTCACTTATAAAGTTGAGAAACTGATAGGCTACGCAGCACTGTAGGTCTTTACAAAATGTATACATATGGGTGTTATATATATATAGGTGCATATCTGTATAATAGTGTAGAGATCGGAAATCTTTGCGCAATTGACGAAATGCATTGTTTTCGTAAGCGTTTGCGTAACTGTTACAAAACGAGCTTGATGCTAATTAGAAGTAGTCAAACGATCTGTGCATCATGTGCCAGTGTGTGCTGTTGATATTAATAAATAAACGCTGTGCATTTCGCACTTGTCATGTCAAGCAGGCAAGCGCAAAGTGTTTCTTCATAGATAGCCTACATTACACGTAGAATAGGGAATTACAATATAACGCTTCAAAAGCCTGCTTTGAATCATATACTTTCTCTGGAATAATACACTTATAGAGATTTTAGGACAAGGATGAGGTTAAGAATACGGTGCATTAATTTATTATTTTAAATTCAAAGTCTGGTACGTGCCGGTAAAACTATAATTTTCGTATCATCAATTCAATTCGTGCATGTTTACAAATCGCGCGCTCCGTGTAACGTTACTATGTGTCAGGTGTCACTGAAAGGTGACGACTCGTTTTCGGACTCCTTAAAACATTTGAACGCTTTGAGGAAACGCTCGGTGGTGTTGTTGTCCTCTGTCCTTGTATATAATATATAGCCTAATATAAATAATATCGTAAGCGCTGTAAAGGTGCTCGTTTCGGGTTATTGGGTTGAGCGTGCTATCTGGTCAGTGTAATAGTACTCCATCCTCGTGACTGGAGGTATAGAACACTGTTACTGCAGTCATGTGCTGCTCGCAGACAGACAGACGTAGTAGAACGAGCTGGGGGCGGGGCCACTGACGCACACACTCCCTCCTCGGCGCGCGCATGTGACTGACTGACTGAGTGCCGCTGCGCAAGAGCCGTTCAGATCACGACTAATAATTCACCATCCACTCTATCCACTGAAGAGCGTTAGCTTCGCACCTTTTTGATTTATAAACAGTATTTACATTCATGCAAAAATGCCATTCGTGCCGGTGCTTATTCGAGGAATAAACAATTGGATTTAGACTGTATAGCCTATTTAATCTCCTAAATTCCCTATCCAGTACAGCGTATTCCATGTTTTGTATTACGCGGAGACATTTAAAGACCATCGCCCACTTGTTGCATTTCTGTTGTTACCAGATAATTAAGTATAATATTGATTTTATTGACGAGGAATATTGATTTGAGTTTAAATTATTGCATGAGATGTATCAGAATCGAGAGATAAATAATGATTAGCGATCGTATTGTTGTCACACGTATGAAAGGGATGCTTAAAATATTGATTTGAAATGATTTATCACGTGATTAAAATATTTGGCTTTTGAATGATGATTGACCAATCAGAATCAAGAGCTGTGCAGTAAAGCTAATTGTAAATAGTAGGCTAAATACTTGTTTTCCACTCAAATATTTAAAAAAAAAAAAAAAAGTGTCCAAGAATAATGATAGTCTCAGAATAGCCAAATATCAGCCTGGCTGATATGTCGGTCTGTCACTAGTGCTGTGGGAAAAAAGACCTTCATGCATTCCAGTTTCAGTTCCCCCCTCAGTGCATACTTCTATTCTGCTGTTGACATTTATACATTTACTGCATAAAATCTGAACATTTTAAGGTTTTGAAATCCATTCCACTGCACCAGTTCTCAGGCGAGCTCGCAGTTGTCGTGATGTGCGGCACTGCAGTACTATGTGTTCAGCTTTCGTGATATGGGCTGAGTCACCTAACTTGACAGAGCCAGGCAAATGTATTTACACCATGAAATGAGTCCCTCCTCCCCCAGCTCCTGTCAGTCAGCTGTGCCTCCCCCTCATTTCCACTCATAATTTTATTAATTTTATGTTTTATAATAAATATGCAGGGTTGACATGGCCTTTACAGAGAGTTCAGACAATTGACTCTGTGTCTGCTTGTTTACTGAAGCATTTTCTCTATCATTTGCCATATCGCTGTGAAGTTGAACCATAAAATCAAATCAGCGGCAATGAAATGATGATGCTTTTAGATGTTCTGCTTGGAGTTTGCTGGTTGGAATTCACTTGACATCAGATTTGAAGAAATTGCACATTTTTAGTCTATTCATTTGAAGTCCACTGAGAGCGAGAGTAAAATGAGATACCATAAAACAACACAGGGACATAATTTGATTCGGTTTTCACAGAAAGGCTTTACCTCCGAATGTGGCTCAATAAATTGGCTGCAGCCTCTGGATCGTCAGTTTATGTTTAGCTCTTTTCACTCCAATTACTTAACAGCGCTGTCTCATGCCTTGCTCAGGGCGCACTTGTATTTATTAGAAGGGCTGTTTCCTCTCCTGAAGCCCCAGAGGTCCATCATCTGGCTCCTCCATCTCTCTTTGGGGACGTGAGGAAGCCTGGGAATGCTCTGTAACAGATCAATGTCAATTTCGGACAGAAAGGGATAGACTGTGGAAAGACAGGGCCTTGATATCAGTAATGTACCCATAGTAATCCATCATCAGCTAAGAGCACAACTGGCATCAAAGGTTAAAAAACCCTTTCATTGAGTTGTCTCATAATGGGACCAAGGGTAGGATATTTTCTCTAACTATAGTCCTCAGTCTGCTGTAACATATCCTCTAGATGATCTGGATGACGATCTATAGAAGTACATTCACTTCAGTGGTCTGTAATTGATGCCCATGTTCATTATTACATTAACATTTATGCACATCGTTCGGCAGTAACGATTGTTTAAAGTGTAGTTCTCCCAAAAAATAAGAAAAAATCGCTCATGGCGTTCCAAACCTGCGTGCTTCTTCTGTAGAACACAAAAGGAGACATTTCGAAGAATGTGCTGGTCATTCATTTCCATGCAATTACCTGGAGATTTTGTTGCACATCATTGACCCAGTTCCTGGTCTTTTAAGTGTGATGATTGAGTAAATGTCAGAGTTGAGATGTTTTTGTTGTGTCATAATGAAGTTACATGTTTTGTGGAACGTTAAAATCGTTCTAGAACAGAATGCTGTGCAACAGGACTGAAAGACAAGCTCATCGTGAATTGCAGTGTTGCATTACTAAGAATTTGTCTCACAGCAATTCAAAAACGGCTACAAAAAATCTTTCCTTGAGTCATAAGAGAGTAAAGGTCCGTTCACACCATGAACAATAATTATAAAGATAAATATATGATAACTATTTTAGCATCCACACCAAATGACAGTAAAGTTATGTTTAATTGTTTAATGTTACATTGTGTTGTTATCGTTTTAGTTGTGGTGTGTACTTCACTGTTCTCATACAATTAGAGCGCTTAAAACTTTATTCTTATCGTTATTGTCCTTGGTGTGAACAGGCATATATGATATGTTGAAAAGAATAGCCAGGATATTCTTAAAAATGTCACCTTTATGGATTTCTCCTCGTCTTTCCTGGAATAGAGAAATGTATAAGTTCAAGAACAACTTAGTGTGAATAATTGATCAGATTTTTCATTTTTGTTATGGAAGCAGCCATTTAGTTTTATGCTATAGTTTCTCACCTTGGATATGTCTTGGCTAATAGCTCTCATTTATTAGAGACCGATTAAAGCTTCCACTGCATTTTTATGCAGTATCCTGGAGAAATGCTTCATGCTGGCATTATCATGTTGCCGTTGTTTTATGTCTCAGCAGTTGCACAGACTTATAAAAGCTCAGGTGTCCTAATCTGACCTCGGCTGAAAAAGAAGTTGCAAGCAACCTTTGTATTCTGGGACATACGGTTATATCTTAATCTCTGAAGCACTCACATGGCTCAGATTAGACTGATATGTGTTTTCGAAGTGGTATAAATCAATGTAGTATGCATGAGTTTAGTAGGGCAACTGCAGGAACCATTTGCATGGATGCAGGTTGGCCTGTATATTTGCAAGCTAAACAAAGTTGCAGGTGTGTTATTCTAATATCAGATCAACCCCCACCTGTACACTGTGTGAAAATAAAAGCACAGAAAGCTTTTTGTGTCAGATTCAGCCTCTCCTCTGGCGAGTGCATTTGAGGATTATATAGCGCACACAGTGTACTTTAGATCAAATGTACCTGATTATAAAACTCTGGATGTTCTTTATTATCTGGTCCCTGTCTTTAGATCTTGTAGATGACACACACACACACACACACACACATATAAGTGATACAGAGTGATTTGGCTAAAAATGATATCTTTTCAGCCTTTCAATGATATTTGATAGCTTAGTTTTATTTGTTCTGAAATGGCTTCAGAGGGTTTCAAATGAATCAGAGTTTGAATCAGTTCATAGTTTGATCCACTAAACTGATTCAC